TTCTCACTGTCTTGCTTCAGCCTCTCTTCTTCAAAAGCTAGTTGTTTTTCTTGTATGTCGAGTTGACGATCTCGCCGTTTGTCTCGTCCTAGCTGACCTTCCGATTTCGGCTCTAGATACTCAAGGATTGCATCCGTGCTAGTTCGTTTCGTTTTTTTCACAGCTTTCAGCATTATAATTGCCGTCATCTTCACGAGCACGCCGCATTCCAGCCATCGCATCGCGCACTACTGGGTTAGACGCAGCTTCACGTATCGCTGCTTCCTTTTTTCCTTTTCAGTTTTTTCAGCCTTCTCCTGTGCATAACCATCGCACTAAAATAAATAAGGTTAATACATAAATAATTGACTAAATTTAAAATATTTTACCCGTTCCCGGCATTCCGTAAGAAGCTGCTCCCGCTCATGGTACTTCTCAGCAGTTCCTGATGCGCGGAGGGACTTCATTTCCTCACGCCGAAATGTATCAAGGAGAATAGTGTGGTGCAGTGATTTATCCGTAATTGCCGGCGGAAAGAGACCTGGTCGCCTTCAAGTTGTTCAAGCTATGAAGGCTCGGTCACATGATGTACGGTGACTCCAAGGTGCAAGAGACTCGACAGCGTCAGTACCGAATACTCAGCGAATATTGGATAGTCCAGATGTCATTCTATCCAGGCTGTCATTATTATTTCTAATGGACTGGTCGAATTCGCATTCAGCGGCCAAGAACGGACCATCTACGGCACGAGCCCTCGGTGACGGTTGGGATGAGTTCGCGGAAGGCTCCGCGAGCCTTTGAAGGTACGGTCACCGTCTGGGAATGGGCGCGAGCTGTTAAACATGCGCATGCGACGGTGCAGACGACGCTTGGCGTGCAAGAAGATCCATAACGGATCATAGCTCACCTGATATTTGTATACATAATTAGGACTTCTTATCAGGAAGGGCAAACGCAATTACAGAACAGAATTTCCACTCAAGCACACAGAGCGCCGTCTGGCTTCAAGGTAAGCGTCTGGTCAAGCATGTTTGATGTTATGTCTGTCGGTGGACTCAAAGCTCTGTAGCGAGAGTTCATCCGGCAAGGCCAAGAGAGTGTGTGTTTGAGCGATTACTATCGGGAGGCTTATGTGACGCCTTATTGTTGCCTATATACACGACTGGGACTGCTTGTATTGCTTCCCTTTATTTTCCAGCCGAGTGTTGAACACTCGGTGCACTCGTAAAAGGCTTATCCGTGCCTGGTACCCTTCCGCTGTTGGGACCACGAGAATTCATAGCACCTATTAGCTTTGCTCGTGCAAGTAGCGTACTCTTACTTTTACTGGTTGGCCAATATAAGTAGTTTACAAGGTCCAGTCTGTCCCGGTGCAAGGGCAGAACTGGGGTCTTCAGGTCCGCCCGAACGATCGTTTACTATCCTAGTAGACGTATTGTTGTGGGAGCGTCCTAACTACATTTGTAGCTAGAGTTCACGTGGGAATTTCAGCATCACAACAGTGAATCGTCGCCTGCAAGCTTTTCTGTCAGCAGTAGAAGCTGATATGGCCTTTTTAGTCCATTTGCTATGTTTTCCAAAGCGGTATTGGTATCTCCGTGGGCTGCTGTCCAAGGCGTATGCGCAGCAGATTATTTTAGAAGGAGCACGTCACTAGATGACAGAGAGCGGAAGGCCTTCTTTCGTTTGGGCTTTTGTTGCGTGCCTTGGTGATCTTGTGTCGTACTGGTGCCTGCAGCATCAGGTGGAGGAGGGGATTCATGACTTTCACACGACATGGCCACTGTGGACGCAGTAACCACTAATTCTGACTGTGTCTTTTGTTAACTATAGACAGGACGCAAACGCGATTTTATTTGAGCTAATTTTAGTGTGACACCCTAACCGCAATGAATGTAAAGCTCACTGTGACTTTTCACAGTTTCGAAACGATAGCACAATGGCTCGGATAAAGTTGGAAGAAGACAGAAGTTGACAAGTACTTTTTCAAGGAAATACTGGGTCACTTTAAAACTCACCTGGTACATCGCCGGATGCTGTTCCTGATCAAATTACCAGTACCGATATATATAAAAAAAAAGTATGACGAAGAAGCTGGTTACCTAGAGGACTACGCCGGGTCTGTCTCACAGCCCCCAACGACAGTATGGAAAAACCGGGGATAACCCCTGAATTGTGGTTTTCTCACCTGGGGACCGTGGGATGAACGGATCCCAGGATACCACAGATGGGGCAGGCCAAATGTGGTGCTCGCCGTGTGGATTCCAGAAGCACACAAAAGCTGGATGCTGGAAACGTCTCGTATGTGAGAAGTGCGGCAAGAAGGCCATCGCGGGGATCACTGTTTCTGCGTGTGTCGCAGCTGTGGCGAAATCCATGATGCTGGCAAGTCTCTGACGGAATCGTTCTACAACCAGATCCGCCAGTGGTTTGGTCCAGTCAAACACCGAGGGATGTTGCCCGAGGTGGCTGAAAAGATGTTAACTTAGGACGCTCACCGGGTTGGAACCCGGTACGAGTCGAGCGCTCTAGAAGTTGCATTTACGCATATTTATGCAAGCGTCGCTAGATCCAGGTAGCAAGCTCCTAGATCCAGTCGATAATACAACGTGATCCACATGAAATGTCTGCTGCCAAGGTCTCTTGTTTACACCGGGTGGATGAGTTTGCCAGATCCGAGGTATCTTTGACTTTGGACTAACAACGGGAAGAAGCGCACTGCTATTGCAACATGGCCAATGCTTTGAGCCTACCTAGGGTGAGGTCATCACGGATCCTTGCCAGGTCACTGGATCCCGTGGATTTGAGAATGTTGGATCCATGGACCTACTGACAGGGGAGTCCTGTGGATACTGAAAGTTCAATGCCCCAGGAATATGGTTCCGACAAGCCAAGGTGGGAGGCAAGATCAGCAATAAAAAGGCAATCCTGCGCTTAGACAGTGGTGCCGAGGTATCAATATAAGATGTCGCCTTTGCTCGTAAGGTCGGGTACCAAGTCGATGGGAGCCGGATCCAAGACTGCTTTGTGATTGGAGAAGGCATATATAGGACGAATGGAGGGACTCGAATCAAGATTATGTTGGCTGGATGCTAAGTGTATTGGCTCGATATTTGGGTTGGGGGTCTCGCTGGTCAAGACACTATTCTTGGCATGGATTCTTGGTACCAGCCGGAGTAAGACTGGATCTGGCAGATGGGACACTGCGCTTCCCAAATGAGGTACGAATCCAGCTCAGTGGACGTCGACCGTTATATAGGGCCACGATGAGGATCATAAGGGCGGACAAATTAACTTGAATAGAGCCTGGGGAAACCTGGAAGCTACCGGATCGACTGAAATGGGTGGATCATGAGAAGCTGTGGGTCACTCGCGGCGAAAAGTGGGTGCCCATCGTAATCCAAGGACCGGGTCGATCACAGTACCTCCAAGTTATTATTATCAGTGACAAGAGGTTACTACTAGATCACTATGAAGAAATCTGACGGATACTGGCAAGGGGAGGTTTCCCTAGACGACCTGAGTATGTGTCAGTTGGATCTCGTCGCTAAAGAGAATGGCACAATCTGGCATATGACGCGACTACCGAAACTAGATCCCTCGGGGAGGAGGACGTTCCGGCAGAGCCGACCGGCCCCTTGGTGGACCGACCCTCATATCCAACTCCGCGAAATATCGTGCTTAGAGGCTCTCGGACGAGGATCCTAGTGGTGGAGGCTGGACCTGAGGCAACTGGAGACACCCATCGCGGAGGATCTCGGGGAGGGCATGTCAGTGATCCCGGAAGTACCACTGACCACGGAGAAGTGACGGTTGATGAAATCGAGGTGGATACGGGAGCGGACGTACCCGCGGAAGTTGACCAACTACGCCAGAAAGTTTGGGAGAGTCGGCAACTGCTAGTTGGTAAACGTAATGCGCTACCACCAGCAGCGCGCGGTGTCAAGTGTAGTATCGATGGTGGCGACGCAAAACCGATGCTCCGAGGGTGTGGAAGGTAGCACCCCAATTCCGCGGAAATATATCAGATTTGATTTGGGGTCTGTTGCGAGCCAAGATCATCAGCTACTCGACACCACCATGGGCTTCACCTGTGGTGATCATTAGCAAGAAGAACTGGGAGGATATACGCTTGTGTATTGACTATCGACTGGTTAATGGTCTGACTAGGCTGGTGGTGTATCCCGATGCCTCTAAAAGTATCTTGAACCGATATTAGTTTTTGGTAAAAAAAAAAACGGACTGAAATAGCTTACATTTATCAATATTATATTATGTGTACAGTAGTAGCACAGAAGCGCTCTTCGCCAACGATTTGATTGTATCGAAGATGAGGCTCGAGCAACGGTTTTACAGGAGACTTTAGCACGAGTCGATAGGAGACAGGCACTTGTGATCTCCATTCATGCGCCGCTCAAAATGAAATTAAAGAGCAAACTTGAGCACTTCACTAGACTCCGCATTCTAAACAACACGCAAAACAAAATGATACTTACGTACCATTTAGAGCTATCGAGATAATCGAGCTTAAAGTTGGCCAATTGGTTTTCGCACTTAACCGGGACTGTGACATTTGTCATAAACTTCCATCGAAAAAAACTGTAAAACTACGAATCCCTAAAATTGAAAAAAAAATTGAGCTCACAACACTCCTAAATGTACAGTGTATCGTCATTTCGAGGGCCCATAAATGGAAAAATATTTTTGAGCGACCACAACTTCTTTAGTTTTAAGCATTTTGTAGCTTATAAGGGCTCAAGAGATAGAGGAGACACCCCGCTTTCGTTTAGAGTTTGAAACGTGACGTTTCTTTCAAATTATCTAAAATTGGCAAAAATAAAATCAATAGGTTTTTCAGCGAATGTAGAAGCAGTGCGTTGTAATTCGTTGAAAAACGCAATGTGACTTGTTTTCAAGTGCTCAGATTGCTAAATATTAAATAGTCGCAGAGACTTTTATATCGCAGAGACTATTAAATATTAAATAGTCTCTGCCAATCTGAGCACTTGAAAACAAGTCTCATTGAACGATAAAAAAAAACGCCGAGTATCCGCTGAATGCTTACCTGCAGAACGAGACCTTGCTTGACGTGAAGCTCACATTCATCAATTTGCTGGACAAAATGAACCAGTACATCGACCACACCATGCTCAAGGTGCGAGCAACAGCAGCCTGAATCAGAACTTGAGTATTGATCGTCTACCAGTCTAACCTATCTTTGTGGCATCACCAGGCGGATGCTCTGCCTTCGCAGATCAAGACACTATGTCAGGAGGCTGCCCAGTATTCTTTCTGCTCCGTGTGTGTCAACTCGTCGTACGCGTCGCTGGCCCGCAAGGTGGGGGCGCTTGTCACAAAAGAGATGTTATTTTCTATTAAAACAAAGGTAATAACTTGTTATCTTGTTGCAGACCTTGGATGAACTGGAACACAGTAGCAAGCCGCATGTGAAGGTCTGCTGTGTCGTGGGCTTTCCGCTTGGTGCTGCCTCAACTGCCACCAAGGCGTTCGAGGCTCAGCAGTGTATTGACGCCGGCGCTGAGGAGATCGACATGGTCATCAACGTTGGCATGCTACGAGCTGAGGAGTTCGACTTCGTGCTCAGTGACATCCGCGCTATCGTGCGAGTGTGCAAAGAACGTGGTGCGATCAGCAAGGTCATCCTCGAGACTGCGCTGTTAAATACGGAGCAGATTCGCAAGGCCAGCGAATTGGCCATCGCGGCCGGCGCCGACTTCATCAAGACTTCTACAGGTTTCTCCTCACGCGGTACGTCTGTCAGCTTGCAATAGACGTTATCGGACGTGTTCCAGGTAGTACATGTAGCTCTGCTGCTAGCCGACTAACTGTTTCTGAATTTCAATCATGCAGGTGCCAGCGAGGAGGACATCAAGCTCATGGCAAGTATCGCTAAGCCTGCTGGAAGGCAGGTGAAAGCTAGCGGCGGTATCCGCTCAGTTGCTGACGCGGAAAAGATGATCGCGCTTGGGGCCACGCGTCTCGGTACCAGTGCCGGTGTCAAGATCGCCCAGGGTCAGCAAAGTACCGACACGTACTAGATACTACTACAGTAGTAGTATTAAGAGTCGACACATGGCTGGGAATACGGTTTAAATTTGTTCAAAGCATTGTGTCCCCAGACTTAAGAACTCAGTAGATCTGAAGTATTTAAGTACTGTAAACTCGGCGACAGGGTATTACATGTACTGTCAGATCAGCCACCCACTCATACCCATTTGTACTAACTACCGCTACTCCATAGCTTTTTCCAAACCTATGGACTAATTACAAACCCGTCGTCACTCTGTCGACCCTGCGCGATCTCGATACCGACACTGGTGCCAAGACGTGCCGCTCCAAGTTCGATCATTTTCTGAGCATCTGCCGCTGTCCGAATGCCACCACTGGCCTTGACCTTCTTGCCAGCGGGCTCAGCGATACTTGCCAGGAGTTTGACGTCCTCCTCGCTGGCACCTTTAGGGCAAATGAAAAGTTAGTCCAAAGCATTGTGGCGACTTTTTATTGCAGCGTGACAAACGCACCACGTGTGGAGTAGCCCGTAGACGTCTTAATGAAGTCAGCACCGGCAGCGATGGCCAACTCGCTGGCCTTGCGGATCTGCTCTGTGCTCAAGAGCGCCGTCTCCACGATTACCTTGCTGGTAGCACCGTGCTCCTTGCACACGCCCACGACAGCACAGATATCGCGCAGCACATAGTCGTACACTTGACCGAGAAGCATGCCTACGTTAATAACCATATCAATCTCCTCAGCGCCGGCATCCAGACATTGCTGGGTTTCGAAAACCTTGGTCGCCGTCGTAGTGGCCCCCAGTGGGAAGCCCACAACGCAGCAGACCTTCACATGTGGTTTGCTCCTGTCCTTCAGCCCATCCAACGTCTAAGGCAAGACAGTATTTAGTGACAGTATTCATCACTAACTCGGCCAGTGTAGCTTCCTGACCTTCCGAGCCAATGTCGCGTACGACGCATTGACGCACACAGAGTAGAAAGAATGCTGGACTGCCTCCTCACACAGAGTCTTGATCTGCAAAGGCTGGGCGTCTGCCTAAGGATGGCGCAAAAGTTCGGTTAGAGATAGAGGCGACTTTCATTCACATTCCAGCGGTCGCTGCACTCGCCTTGAGCAGGGTATGATCGATGTATTGGTTCAGAGTTCGTGGGCAATTTGATGCGGCTTGGGGAAAATTAGCGGTGTCGAAAAATATTTTTTTGTCTTCATCCGACGCTTCCACGTATTGTTTCCAAAGTCTTGTGTGGCAAGCTTCATGATGCCGCTTGTAGTTGTCTGTGCGGAAAGGGGAGCGGAAGTTGTGCACATTCGTCGTTCGCTTCCGCTTCCCCTTCAGATTGGCTTCACGCCCAAATTTGACACAAAACTTGCACGCGACTAACAGAGCAGTAGACGTCTCTGGGTCCCGCTCAACAATTTCTAGACCGTACTTGACATCGTGGCCTCGCTGAAACGGAGTCGTCAAGCCTGCAGGCATGCTGCATTTAACGATAGAAAAGAATGAGCGACAAAAACTAAATCTAACATGAAACTATTTTCGTCCAATCATGTCTCTACATTATCGCAATAAAGGCTAATAGATGTCTTAAAGTCTACCTAATACTTAAGTAAGAATAAGTATAGTGGTTCTCACGGTTGTTAAAACGAAAATATTTTTCTCACAAAAATGTTTCGTCGTCCCCTGGTGCTGCACTCAGCAAATTCCCCGTTTGTGGTTTTCACAAGGATACCCCTCGAAAATAAAGGAAATTCTGACAGGGAGACCTATCAAAGCGGATGTTGGAAAGGGATCGATTTTGAAAATACCCCGGGGAGAATGCAATGTGATTCATAGAAAAAGAAGCTGGCTATCACGCGTCACACACTACGTGATCTTGGAGGCTGCGGCGGCCACGGCAGCTCCCATTAGGCCGCCAGGACGAGCGAAGCGCAGCGAGTGCACCACCCACAACGACGAGCCCAATACCAAAGCCGCGCCGCCCTGGTGGACCATCGCCAGCGGCGTCGGCACCTCATTCACCAGCATTGTCGCGCCCATGAGCACCTGTCATCCAAACCGCGTCAGCAAAACCAAAGCAAGCACCACGAAATAATGCGAGCAACTGCAATACCTGGCCCCCAACTGCTGCAACTGCCAGCATCATGGCACGCTTGGCGTCCTCTGGGATGTTCGTCCAGATATTGGGCTTACGTGCCTTCACGAACACCGCAGTGTAGGCAGCAAACGTCGTCAGGGCCAACACGCGGTGGTCAAGCTGCACGAGAGCTACATTGTCGTGGAAGTTGCGTAGAAACGGCTTCAGATATTACAAGAAGTTAGCTCAATACTGCGGGTGTGTTGAATTAGTCCCTACAAAGACCCAACCTTTTGCTCGAACAGACCACGCGGGATCCAACGATCGCCCATCTTGGGGAACGTTTGGAACTCGCGACCACCGTCGATTTCCGCCACCAGGGATCCCGCGAAGACAGTACCAGCGACCAGGCCAGTCAGCGCTACAAAGTGTTTGCGAACCTCACCCAACTCTTTTAGCACACCCGGCGTCATGAGTCCTCGCACCGAAATCGCTCTAGACACGGGCGAAACGATCCCAAGCCCCGTCCAGACAAGAAGAGAGAAGTTCGCGAGCGATAATGCTGACTGCAGTTGTGGCAGCAAACCGTGAGCTACGTGACGATAGACAAGGCTATTAACTAATGTGGATACACGTACATGAACTGGTAGGAAAAAAGTGGCTCCTTCGAACACCGGCGGCTGATCACTTTTGCGTTTTCCAGCAGGCTTGACGTTCTTCTCCACCATTTCTCGGCCGATGTACAATTGAGTTGCTCCAAGCCCAGCAACGAGCGCCAATGGAGCTTGCGCTGGGGTCGGAATCTTGCCCTTCATTGCGAAAAACGTCAGCGGCCCCACGAACGCGAGAGCCGTCACTTGACCGAGTTTGCGGTGGGCCGATTCCCACTTGTAGTTCCGCTTGAAGTCCTCGAGTGTCTAGCGGATTAGCATTAGGAGTCGATTTTTGTGTCCACAAATGCGTGAAGCCTCGTCTTACCATCGGGGTGCGCTGGGAGCGAGCGCAGAAGTCACGATAAACATCGAATTCATCGTGCCACTCGCTCTCGGTCTTCGGTGAGTGCATGAAACGCGGCTTCCAGTACAGCGTTGACGCCCCAGTCCGCGTAAGGCGTGCCGCAGCTCCAACAGTAAGCGTGGTTGCCACCAACCCTGCTGTGCCGAAGAGCCACCACGGCAATGGCGATTGCATCATAGAGTTCTTTGACTTCTCTAGCATATTCGACGACCATGACGCGGAGAAACGCTACGTTGCAACACAGGAAAGGAAAACTCAGCGCAGTATTGCCATACCAATAGAGTGGACTAAACCTACCTTTTGGAGAGGATTCTGCTGCGGCCGCAGCGATACACTGCTCAATGGATTGCCAGTCATGTTGGACTTCATCGAGCTCACTCTCAACGTCGAGAAACTACGCCCTCTCTTCAGCCCAATATCTGGTCAGTCAACTCTGACAAACACTACGTAGTACTACAGTACATCAAAGGACGATGGAGACGCACCAAAAGCAGTTGAGACGCCATTGTTGAAACCTGGACGAAGGCAACTTTGCTCGATTCGCTGCAATTTCAATTGTGAGTAGAGGTGGTTTGCTGCACTAAACGATCCGACAGTTAGGCCCGGGGACACGACGATGAAAGATTCTTTCTCGAGTCTGCCATCACGAACAATCTTTTGCCCTGGGATGGTACATTTTTAAGTAACTGGTGCATTGAACTTTATACTAGCAGACTGCACCGTCGCTCTATCGTCGGAGCTTATTGCATCGAAGCCGAGGTGGGGGCTGTGTATGCAGTCAGAGTGATCGGCGAGTCACCGGAGCATACGGAGAACGAGGAGGTGGCCGTCGCGGCTGCGCAGTCAATCTGCGCGGACGCTCCCTCGCTCGTGATGTTTGTCGGCTTCTCGTAGCACGTACGGATAGCCGACAGTTGGTTGTTGCCATCCACAGCCGAGCACAACACCATGACACTGTGGCCGTAGAGAGCCTCAATCTCGGCCAGAGTCGTCTGAGGCGTCGACTGAGCTGCCCACTTGTTGATCTGCTCGGTGGCTGAACTGATGCGGTCCGCCGTGCTCAGCGTAGCAGTGAAGTACGTGACAGCAGCCGAGATGTAATCAGCGTCGTCAGCGGCATAGCAGAGACCGTGCTTCTGGAACTCGTGGTTGTAGATCTCGCATAGCGATTCGTACGTAGTGGCTTGCGTAGCGTCCACCCACTTCTCACCCATGGTGGTGAGTAGGCTGCTTTGGGCGGCAGCGAAGTCAGCGGCGTTATAAGGGTCGTTGGCCACCGCTGAGCTCGGATTGCAGCAGCTCACGTAGCCATCGTTGTAATTGGGCCACAGACCGTGAATCGTGAGCTCACTCTTGACCACACTCTCCACGCAGGCTGTGCCGTTCGGGTACATATCGATGTTTTGGTGCGAAATAGTGGAGTCGACACCCTTTAGCAGGTCACGGCAGAACTGCGGCACGAAGAGCTGCTCCAGGACCATATAGTCGAAGTCGCCCGGGACCATCGACTTGGCGAGGCAGGCAGCGTCCGAAGTGAGGCACGTCTTGGACGGAGCGGAGCAAATATCCACACACTGGTTGGTGGGGTCCGACGGAAGCCAGCCACCGGCATAGTTGGTGGCGGCTGCGCTCGAGGGCCGGAGAGTGGAAGCGATGAGGGCAGTGGCGAAGCTGGCGAACATGGTGGGGCGATAGCGGAGATCGTCTTGCGCTCGAGTAAGCAAATTGTGATGTGGTCTTCACAGTGTGAAGACCTCAGGTTCGGCGCCGCAGACGGAGCCTTGCATCTAAGTTTCGTGGCGAAAAATCCCGCCTGTTGATTCAACAGTAGTGTTGAATGCACTCGCCAGTCACTGACCGATCAGCCACTTACAATTACCTAAATCAGTACCGGTACTAGTGCAAGATATGTTTTGGTCCGTCACTTAACTCTCCTCTTCTGTTCCAGTAAACCGGTACATGTAGCAGATTTGCGATACAGTACATGTATTGCCCAACAATTTAACTTTTTCCTAACACGTGACCTGCAAACCCAAAATAAGAAATATTGTCTCACAATAGCCCTTCTAAATTAGATCCCCGCTTCTAAAAAGTATCACAGAATACCCGCTCTGCATGTATTACATGTAACTTAGCCGAGTGCCGCCGCTACGCGGCGCGAAAGAATGAATGTCGTTCCTTGTATTTGGCCTCCCGTTCCGCTCGCCACGGGCTCGCTTCACTACTCGCACGGTAGGTTGGCAGATTTGGCTCAGGCGGGCCCAAAGGCCCGCAGGGTTGCAGAAGGTGCCGATTTGGGCCGCCTCGCTGCGCTCGGCAGCTTTTAGGCCAATCGGGGCCACCTTCGCTGCGCTCGGCAGCCAGTAGGAATATTTAAATTATTTTATCCAATGATTTGTCCGGAAAAGCGTGACAGGCACGACAATTTAGTGTGACGGACAGACAGGTTGCTGCAGTAGATGTTTAAGACTAGCGGTCTGGGCGTCCGCTCCGCGGACGCTAGGGCATGGTTGGTTGGTGTAGAGAGGGCCGACCACCTCCGCTGCGCTGCGGTAGGCTTAGAATTTCTACTCAAAGCGAAGCAACATATAGTACATGTATACTGTGAGCTGCGTATTACGGTTCAAAACAACACCGCACACAGTATCCTTAGTGCTAACATGTTATGGTAGACACGACCAGGGTTTAACGTGATCTGCAAGAAGAGCACCATCTTACCCGGGAAGGTTTTGTCTATAATCTCGTTTGAGCGCATTGCTCCCAAAATGAACGAATCGGAGGCGTGCGTGGCTACAAAGCTAACAAATGCTGTTCAGAAGACATGTCAGTATCAGTGATGATCCACATTGGCATAGACCGGTGAGGAATCCCAGTTTAGCTGGAGTAAATACGCCTACTCAAACATATTACCATCTGCACGTCATCGCAGTGAGGCAGTCATCACCATATCATCGATTGCGACGATCTATTTGGTCATCTGCTCGCGCGAAGTATCTTTTAGGACAGGTAGTATTTGCTGATGGTCGCCATAAACATCAATATTATGTCTTGAAATTGTCCCGCTGAGCTCTTTATGATTTTAATGAAGGGCCTTTCCACTATCTTTCGCATGCATTGATCATACTTGCATAGCTGACGCACTTACTGACGTATGTACATAAATACGGGCCGACAGAGTGGCGTAGGTCCTTCCGACTGGCAT